CGGGAGAGGAAGACAGCTGACGATCTTCAGTCATAATTCAATGGGGTATGTAATTTATTTCAGAAAACGCTTTTTGTTATATTCCATGGAATGCTCTTAACGTCCCGATAGCAATGAATATATTAAATGCTTTGACAATAAATACATACAAAAATTAATCTCTGGAAGTCGTAGCGCTGTAAAAAGCACGACCAATCATTTTAGCCGACCCGGCTAAAATAACTGGATGGCCTACCTGCCTGTCAGCCTTCCATCTCTGTTCCATCTGTGCACAAACTTATCTCGTGGCCTCATTGATGATGCGCGTTCGTATGTGTTGGAGGAGGGACTCTGTAAGAAAGTCTGAAGGAAGAGGCCTATTTTTTCCGGTTGTGTATTTTCAAATTCTAGCGCACTCGAGCTGGTTTCTCCATTCTTACCTACCCTACCTTTAACTCTTTTTAGGGTGCAGATATATGTTTTATTTATTTCAAAGTGGGCCCATTTTAATAATATCTTTTTTTCCTTCAAATGTTCAGAGGACTCCCCAAGTGCTGTGTTTAATTTCTTTTAAAGTAGGCCTGTGTATTATTTGTAATTCTCCTTATAGGAGTTATTTGTTTCTTATTAGAGGTTAACAGTTGTATATAATGTAATAAATAGCCTAATAAATGCAAAAAAAATGTAGTTTTTGTCTGATATAACAATAAATACAACTTTATTAGCTATCAAGCTATGAAATATGTTTTGCGGCTCCAGACAAAAAAAATTGGGGGAAAAAGGAGCAAAATGGCTCTTTTGGTCAAAAAGGTTGCAGACCCCTGTACTATACTATTCCTTTATTTGAACTATGGTATTAATTTTTTTCCTGCTGTATTTAAATGTTTCCATTTGACTTTTTTCAACATATTAGGAGTTTTTACGACATATACTTTACCATGACGTACATTGAACATACTATAATATCACTTTTTTTGACAGGCTAATGTAAATCTCTTTTTAGACATGCTTGTCACCCTTTTGACCCTGTATTGCCTTTCTTCCACCTAGTGTGTTTCCCTCCCTGATGATTACCTGCTTTGCCCTGGCTGGTTTCTCCTGTCCCTAATCATCCCTCCACCCCTGGGTATAGTCTGTGCTGTTCCCTTGTTATTGCCAGTTCGTATTGTCTGTTGAATAGTAAGCATAGTATGTCGTAAAAAGTCTTAGTATAGAATGTTGGAAAAAATCGTAGTATGTCAAAAAGAAAAGTAATGGTATTGTAAAGTCACATGGAAACATTTAAAAGTTAAAAATTCATACTATGTCAAAGTATGTTCTAAAAAGAAAAAAGTATAAATGTCGAAAAAAAGGTAATAGTATGATGTTTAAAATGACTAAGTATAAAATGTGAAAAAATAATAATATGGAAACTTTATTTTTATATCAGTGAGTAAAAAATGCATATTAAGTATGCAAGTCAAATAAGGACAGCAAACCAGCACCCAAAAATGACTACATTTAAATAGAAACCCTCAAGATGTAATGAGAATCAAGACTCAAATTCTACTAAATATAGAGAAAATAGAGAAAACAAACGTTGAAGAACGTTTTTACTTTAAAGGGGACCTATCATGCAAAATGCACCTTTGTACGTCTTTTATACATGAATATGTGTCCCCGGTGTGTCAGGGAACTCACCAAGTGTCAGAAAACACAACCCTCTCTCTTTTCCTCCATGCCCAAAATCTCTAAAAACGGGGCTACAACGGATCTGATACAGATTTGAAAATAGTCTGACGTCAGTGACGAGGAGCTCCGCCTATATTGCCAACTCTCCACCAATCAGGGGGATGAGAGGTTGCCGTGGCATGGTAACAGCATGGTAACATGACGCTCGTAACTCGGCCCCCTCCTTTGCAGGGGGGCGTGGTCAGCTGCAGCCTATGCAAAGACAGGGTGGAGGAGAGGAAAATAGAGCAAAATGAGGCATGGCTAAAATGCATGATCGGTTTGGTATTTTTGAAAAACAAAAAACGTATAATTATACCTTATATAGGTATGGCCCTACAATATATTATTCATAGCATGATAGGTCTGCTTTAATATAGAGTAAAAAAGCTTTATTTGTTACGTCACATCTTTATTATTGAACCGACGTATGACTGAATAGTATCCTAATCACTCAAAATATAAAGTGAATCAAAATGGCAGTCATATTTTCTGTTTTGGTAACCAAAGACCAACTAATGAGCAATTTAGAGTTGCAATACTTCCTAACCTGCATGTTTTACTGACTGAAGAAAAGCTAAATTAAAGAGACACATGGAGAATGCAGAGAAAAAGATACAGATATAAGGCCAAAGAGAAAAATACTCTCTACTAGATGTGGTTTTTATTCAACTCACAGTACATTCTACAGATGCACACGTGTTACATCACCTTAATACAACAGAGTCTTGTAATACCTCCTCTTAAAAATGATGAATTGGTCCTAAAAATATAAAGGAACAAATTTAAAGTCACCAAAACTGTACATTATTAAAAATTCACTTGACACCACATTTGGTCTTCGAGTCTTTTTTTTTTTTTTTTTTTTTTAAAAACATCTGTCCCTTTAAGTAATAAGGAACGTTAAAAGTTGAATTTTCCTATCAATGGATTTAAACTCAGTGTATGAAACAAATTTAAATAAAACCCAGACTGTGGAGTCGTCCTGTCGCCTTCATAGCACACGATCCATGCCGCACAACATCGTACATATTGGGCCCTTGTACAGCAAGAAATAAAAACAAATAAAAATGAATGCAAGATTTAAAAAAACAAAAACAAGCAGGAATGTACCCAGTCATTTGCATTTTAAGATCTAGAGGATTTCATCCTTGCACAGATCAAACCGATCAGATTAAATACAGACAAACAGAAGAAAATGTTGAACATGGATCAGCTGCTCAAATATGGGTTTGAAGCTGCAAACACCAACCTGTTCAGTTTCATACTCTAAAAGAACAAAATCTCATAATTTAGATGTATAGTCTTTCAAACACATCTTGTGATAAATTACTTTTAACAAGAGGGACAGTGAAATATAAGCATAGAATGACTAACCAACACTAATAAAAATCCCCGTTTTAGAAACCAGTGTCTTTCACACAGCAGCAGAAAGTGGGTATGTGTGTGAAATTGTGTACATGATATAGTGTGTGTTGTGAAACGTGTGAATGTGGGGCGTGCAAGACTTTAAGTGGAGGTTATACAACGTCTACTTGTGACAGTCCATTAACAGATTCCTTTTAGTTTAACTGGCCTTTTTCAGAAATCATCTAGACATCTCTATAAGGTAATCTGTACACATTCACTACACGCTATTGCTATTAAATAATCCCAGCTATTGTAATCTGTATATATATTTATATATAGAATATATAATAAAAATATATTGAGCAAAAACTTCTAGGCATAAAACCACGTTACATTACATTTCCATTGAACAGGTAATAAATGGCCCGAGCTCAGTGAAGAGTTTTGATCCATTTTGTCGTCGAGCGGTGCTTAGCAGGTCGGCTGCAATAGTGTGAGCAGTCCCTGACCCTGAGAAGAGCCTGAGGGCCAAAACGCCTGGGGCCTGAGACCGTCACCACTGCACAAACTGGGCCTGACCAAAGGCCTCGCTACGACATGGGGCTTGTAAAAGGACGTGACAGGAGAATGCAAACAGGTGATGATGTGCTGAAGTGAAGATGAAGACAAGCGAGAGACATATTCTCACTCAGTGCGGGGGGGAATGGATACAAGTTTAAGAGAGTTCAGCTGTGGGCCTGGGAAATGTTAGGCCGGTAGAGAAACCGATAACAGACAAATAGCCAAAATCTATACATATATACCTATACATGAGTACACATAGCTGGAAGAACCTCCAGACAGTCTTAATGGAGAGAGTGTGCCTGGAACGGTGAGAGCACCAACAGTTTCACAGCCCACCATCGGGGGGGNTTTTTTATTCTGCAGACCGTTTACATGCCCAAAAACCTTCATAACACACAAGGGGACGGGTAGTAACCAGAAAAGCATGACATGGGACCTTTAAGACCTTTAAGGTTTGTGGCACAAGCAAACGACCAGTTTGTAAAACAGTATTCAATGTGGGATAGAATCATGTTTGCAGCATTGACAGTTAAGAAGGGTCTGATTTGTTTAACATTTTGAAAGTTGAATTTAATAGCATTGGATACTTTAATCTGTTTCTTAAAAGTCAAGTTCGAGTCCAATATGTCTCCAAGATACTTGAACTGGGAGACTAGTTCTATCTCTGCTCCGTTTAAAAACACGTTGGATCCTTCGATTTTGACTGGTCGTTTACTGAACATCATGCATACTGTCTTTTTTACATTTAACTGTAAACAAATGTTGTTCAGCCAGGGTTGAACCTTGTCCAATGCATTAGAGAGACAGGATGAGATAATTTCAGTGTTTTTCCCGTGTACGAAGATGACCACATCATCGCCATACATTTGAACATTCAACTCAGGACACACATTAGGCAAGTCATTAATGTACAGAGAAAACAGTAATGGTCCAAGAATGGAACCTTGTGGAACCCCAACAGGGTTGACAAGGTAGGGGGATTTGGCACCGTTGACCAAAACACACTGTTTTCTGTTCGATAAGTAAGACTCAAACCAATGTAATGAATCTGCCGAAAAATTGAAATAAGTCAGCTTTGTAAGAAGCACTTGGTGGTCAACAGTGTCAAATGCCTTCCTGAGATCAAGGAAGACAGCAGCTACATATGGGCTCGTGTCCAACATACATTTAACCTTTTCCACAAAGACACAGTTAGCTGTCTCAGTGGATTGGTGAGCACGGAAACCAAACTGCATTGGGTGGAGTGGAGCGAAACCTTTGCCTAAATGTTTGGTGATTAGTTTTGACACCCATTTCTCAGCTTTCTCTGAGACACAGGGGAGGATGCTGATTGGTCTGTAATTGGACATCAATGCCTTATCTCCAGATTTAAAAATCGGTGTCACCGTGGCCACCTTCCAGGATGATGGAACTTCCCTCGTGCTGATAGATTGATTTACTAGCATACTAATTGATTTTATTAGACCGTCGATATGTGTCTTTATAAAGTTGGTGTCTAAATCATACGGATCCCTAGCCTTAGAACCTCTTAACCCTAAGATTATATTTTTTACCTCAACCTCTTATCAAACACAAGTACGGGCATGAGCTAAAATAGGACTCAAGAGCACAACCAGGCAAAAAAGGTCTTTAGTCAAGCGTTTAATCCAAAAGGCAAAATATAAATGCAAAGATAAAAAAATGTACAGACTGGAAGCAACAAAAAACAACCAACTAAGTTGGTGGAAAAATACTAATGCAGCAACAAAAAACAACCAACTAAGTTGGTACAAACACTAAACAGCTGGAACTATAGCTTACGTTAGGAAAGTATCTTGGAGCACTTCCTGCTAGACAGACAAGACGAACTGGCACTGATCAAGACAACAGCACAGACACAGGAGAGGAGTAATGAGCCGAGGCTCATTGAGGCCAGGCAGGTGATTAACAGGGAAGAAAAACACACAGGTGAGGGAGTGAGGCGATCAGCCAGGGCCAGGATGTGACACCTCTGTGATTTCCTCCAGGTCAAAAACGGGGTGTGTATCCACAGTCGGGCTAGGTGAGACCTCAGATGGCGGGAAGAGCTTTGCAATGTCCAAAGCATTATTTAAGAAATACTCATTGAGTGAGCTGGCCAACACGGCAGGGTCTTTTATCAGGGAATCATTGATTATTAATTCTAGTACATTATTTTCCTGTTTGGTTTGTTTACCTAATAGTTTATTTAGGATTTGCCAAACGTTTTTACTGTTACCTTTCGCACCTTCAATTATATTGATGAAAAAGTTTGCTTTGGCCTGTCTTATTGTTTGGGTTACCTTGTTACGAGCATGAGTGAATTTCTGTCTATCAGTGGATAGTCCGGATTTCATGGCTTTAATAGTTCTCTCTCTCTAGGTCGTCCTCAGACGAGCTCTCCATCGTCAAAATAGTTGGTCTCTAGATTTCATGAGATTCCTATTGTAGATTCAGCCAGGGAAGATGATGTTCCTTCCTATCCCTAAGGTTCCCTCTTCTTGAAAAAAAAAAAGGAAGACATTGCATCATTAATTTTAGATATAAACGGATTACTGTTTTCACCAATGTCTTCAGAGGAGAGAGTGTCCCCCCCAATCAATCATTTTCACTGCCTCCATAAAACGCTGTTGCAGGTTTTTTGGGGATATAGCGAGAACCGAAGGCAGGGGTTTTAGGTTTGGCCATGAACCTTTTTTTGTGAGTTTCCTGGCAAAAATAACAAGATTATGGTCAGAAAAACCAGTCAGTAAGTTGTAGGTTTTAACTATTCTACACAAAACTTTTATTTAAAGTTATTACTATGTTGGCTTTTATTGCTATTATGATCAAGTGGGTTGGGGATAAATCTCTCTCCTTTTAATTATGGAAAACCCTTATGAAAACTCTAAATCTCTTAGGGTTTAAATGATGTTTGACGATTATTTTGTTCATGTACAACAACATTGTTTAAAACTGTTGTGCTCTGATGACTACATGAAGGTTGTGTGTGGAAGTTCCTGTTGCCAGTTATTTTAATACTCAGTATATGGTGCTCAACAAAATAAATAATAAATTAAATTAATTGGTGTAAAAATACTGCAATTAAAACAACGATATCCAGATGTTAAAAAGCAGCTGCGACTTGTTGCTTGCCCACATCACAGAGGTGCCTGTGATCAGTTTGAACTCAAACAGGGGAATTCTGTGTGTAAAACCAAACGTCTTCACAAGGTGCGCATTTGTCTGATATCAAAGAGTGAAATTAAAAGCATGCACTGATGCAGCATCATAATAAGTCTCTATGGCAACAGCATCATGAAAGAGTTTATCCCCATGGTGACCGGAGCAGTACATCACAGGTATTAAGTGGACAGAGATGAAAAAGGAGGGTTAAAGGACATCACACTTCAGGTCTTTGGAAGATGTATAAATTGCTCAAGGTCAGCAGAATGGGGTGCTTTGGGAGAGTTAGGGTGTTATATACATCCAACCTTGTGTGTGTGCACAGGAAGACTTGATTGGTGTGGGGTAAGGAGAGGGTGAGGAGAGAGAGACTGAGAGAGAGGGGAGGCTACCCTCTTCAAAGGACCTCTCAGACTCTACACGTTAATGAGGGATTTAGACCCTGAAGCCCTCAGACCCTGACAGCTACACACAGGCAGAAGGACGAGCACACAAACAGACGGACATACACAGAAAAATACATACTTTTTGGGTTTGAAATGACGTGGCGTGAGGTAAGCATTTTATATACTTGTCTGTGTTGCAAAATACTCCTTGATTTGGCAGAAGCCTGAATCAAATACGCAGCTACTGTATACGCAATTTTTTTTTCCTTTAACCAATTAGTTGCAGTCCTTTATGTATTCCCATTTCAATGCACTTTCAATTTTCCCAGGACTTTTTTATAGGCCAGAATGTTAGGATGTGTTATATTTCGGTAAATGTGACGCATTTCAAACCATTTTTGTAGACGACTTGTACCGGAGTTGAAATACTGACAAGGAGTTGACTTATTTTGTTAGATATAATGATAGTATAAGGAATGTTTATGATTCTCTTAATTTTCTTTTTATACACTTTGACATTTCTTTAACTTTTATAGCAGTAGAAGGTCTGTCTTATAAAGTAGATTCAAACAAATTTGTGATATTTCGATTAGTTTTTTATCATAAACTCTGGTCAGAGTTTAAAAAAATACATTTGGTGATCTAAATATAGGCCACCTTTGTTTATGTCTCCTTTCTCCATGGAGCTACGCAGTCGGCAATTCTGGTGCGCCATCCTTGCTGAGCTGCTCGGCACCATGATCCTAGTGAGCGCTGTGCTGGGGGCCTCTGTGCCGGGCCCGGGAGAGGCCTCCACGGGACCCCTGTACCCAGCAGTGGCAGTAGGGGTGTCAATTATTGCGCTGATACACTGTTTTGGAGAAATAAGCGGGGCACAGGTGAACGTCTCAAACATTTTAAAATTGTGTTTTTCTTCCTCTGGTAGATTTTCTCTGCTGTAGGTGACATAGCAGTTTAACTCAGATCCTTTACTCAAGTTAAAGCACCAACACCACTGAATACTTTAATATCAACAACAATTTAGTACAGCAACATTATCTTGAAAACAAGCGCTCATTACGACTCATGTTAGAGACCTACCATGTATGACGATATAAGTTTGTTAATGTTGTAGCATTTCACATTTTGTATACCAGTCTAGTGGTTGGGCCGCCCCGAAGGGTCACAAGATAAATTGCAGCAAGAATTACATTCAAACAAAGTTCTGCAACATTAATCTGTCATATTCTTGTTTTTTTTCTTTATTCTTTGCGTGAAAAAACAACAACAATGTGGACACTTTCACTTCTTTGAGATTGAAATTGTGGTTTAATGAAACCATCTGAGAAGTTCGAGGGGAAATCAGTTTATGGTGGGAGCACTCAGGGGCCACAACTAGAAACACCTTTTATTCTGTATTTTACAATCTTGTAATATGTCGTCTTATCCTTGTGTAAAAATGTATAAAAGTACATCTAAAAGTACAATATTTTCCCTCTGAAAATCTAGTTCAATTGATGTAAAAAGCATCATAAAGTACCTGAGTAAATTTACTTTCCACCCCTGGCTGCTGTTGGTTTATAAGTGTTTGTTTTCTCTGATCAGGTGAACCCTGCAGTGACTCTGGCTCTGTTGGCCACTCGTAGGCTGGATGTTCTCAGGGCCGTTGTTTATATCGCTGTACAGTGTTTGGGGGCCACTTTAGGAGCCGGGGCCCTCTACCTGGCCCTGCCAGTCAAATCCACTGCAGACATCTTCGTCAACAGGGTCAGTCCACAGATTATAAATTGCCTACCTTTTAAAGAATTTCAGAAATTACATATTTTCCGAATATTCCTGACTTTTCATTCTTCCCTTCCTGTTTGACCTCCCTCAGGTTCCCATAGAGCTGAATGCAGCCCAGGCTCTGGGCATGGAGGTGTTGTGCACCTTCCAGATGGTTTTCACCGTTTTCTCAGTGGAGGATCAGCGACGGAGGGAAAGCACAGAACCAGGAAACCTCGCCATAGGATTAGCCCACACTGCTGGAGTGCTAATAGCGGTAAGAAAAGCTTAAAGCAGAATAATTAGCAATACATTAACTCTATTCAAAATGTTTATAAATTAAGAAATTGTTCCACAAAACACAAGTTAACAGTACGTTCTTACTTTGTAATGAATAACAGCAAAACATTATAGGTTATCTGGACTTAACCACTTTCATTAAAGAAAGAGAAACTCTTTTATTCGAACAGTTTTTACTTGAAATGTTGATTAACAATCTTATTGATCTTTACAATATATAATTTTTAATGTTGTTTCATATTGTGAAATTACATGAATACTAAACACAATTGTCTAACAGAAGCTACCTTTTGTCAGACCTCTGTAGTTTCCTTGAGATGCACTTAAATAACTCTTGACTTCATTTGTGCTGTTTTGCTGTCAGGGGCGCTTCTCCGGTGCCAGTATGAACCCTGCACGCTCTCTGGGTCCAGCCATCATCACGGGTAAATGGGAAAACCACTGGGTGAGAGAGAGCTTCAGAATCGACATGCTTGTATGCATGTAAAAAAAATCTTAGTACAGTATGCCATAAAAATAGATTATATTTTTGATACTTTCATAACACGAAGCTGCTAATAATTCAGCATTTTTGGATGCAAGATTGTTGTATTTAAAATAAAAAGGCAGCCTGTATATAAACACTTGATAAGTAGAAAAATTACTCAGCTGATATGCTCATTTATTCATGTTCAAGATAAAAGTGGACTTTCCCCCGTGTCTGTAGAAATCCTATTATAATATATATATTTTTTCTGTTTTGCCCACCTGCAGGTTTATTGGCTTGGCCCGGTGATGGGCTCCATACTGGCAGGAGTGTCCCATGAGTTCTTCTTTGCACGCAGCGCCTCTCGCCAGAAGTTTATGGCATGTCTGACCTGTAAGGACATCGAGATTGTTGAGGCGGCCAGCATCACGGGATCGTCTCTGTCCACAGTCACACAGAACGCCATCAGAGCCAAACAGGCCAACAACTGAGGACACAAGCATGAAGAAACACATACATACATACCCCTACACACCCACACACCCACACCCCTCTCCCCCCCCACACACACACACACACACACACAAACGATTTTGTAAAGATGCATAGTGTGCAGGTCTTCAGAACATCAGGCTTTTATTTAAACAATAACCAAAACTATATCTACAGATGAAGTTAGTGTTGGGACAATCATTTAATATTCCAGTTAAAACGTTTTAAAGCACTTTATGAATGAAATGAAGAAATAGTAAACATATTACTTGAATGAAAGTGTTAACAGCTCAAGAGCAAATTCAATTGTCTTTTAATTTTAACATTGACTTTTGTTGATCTCCGGCTTTCTTTCAAACAGTTCATGTGAAAAAACATTACACCCCGAAATGCATTATCATGTTAATCAATTCATATTTTATTCTAAAAATGTCCATCGTTATTTCCAAATCCTTAGGTTCTGTTGGGTTATCACTGATATTTAGTTTACATTTACATAATACATTTTAGAAACTGGAATCCTTAAATGTAAATATATCTATAACCAGAACAGGTGAATATTGAGTGAGACATTACTGATTGATTTACATCAATGTAATTTCCAAAAACTGATTTGCATCTGGTGAAAAAAGCTATTTCTTCGATATTTTAAGCATCGCAGGCTCTGCCTTAGACATTGCTATAAAGAGATGAAGCCAATATTTTGACAAAACAATATTACTCAGAAACAGCCATATTTTACGAGTTGACTGTAGAAAAAAAGTGGCTAGGAGGTCAGGGCAAATGTTGTTGAGTAAAAAAGTACGGATTACATTTACAAAATAGTAGATTAGAAGGTAGCACAACATAAAAATACTTCACCAAAGGGATCAGAACCTGGAAACGTTGTCAAACATGCAGTATCATGTTATCAACGGAAATAACAGGACGTAAAATGTGCCGTTCTGCTGAATTACGGCCACTTTTAGATTTTTAGGGATGATGATAATGTGTGGTATAATAATAGACACAAGTAGAGAAGAGTAATACATTCTGCAAATTATTTAGTGAAAAAATAAGAACAAACAAATAAACAATAGCTAATGGTTATGGTAAACTAAGTACCATAAACCCTAGAGAATATTTGGCTGGTATATTTTATTGATCATGAAGTTAAATGTAAATTATTTGGCACGATTTTAAGTTAGTATTTTTGCAAAGCATCATGTCCCTGCAGGTATCGTTTTTATTTTGTATGTTTTAACTGTGCTGTCGGTAAGTTTAAACATTCTATGTTGTTTAGGTGGTAATAAGAAGGGCAACAAAGGGAAGGATGATTTGAAACCGTCACTGAGTTCACCTGACACATTATAGAGTGCTATCCTTTCAATGTCTCGCCTGAAGCATTACCGGTATATTCTGCAGGCGACACTTTCTGGATAAAACTCATCTTTCCCTGCTGCTTTTGTTTTGAGACAAAGCTGCATTTAAAGGGGCTGAATGCGTCCTCTGGAGGTCCTGGTTGGCTGTCATTGCTGCATGTAGAGATGCAGGCAATATTGTGAAATTCAATATTGTTACTTTCAAATTTGCACATCATTAAAATATATAATGGAGACTCATTAAAACCCAGCAGAAAAACACTCTTATGTTTGCAATTTTTAGTTTCATCCCGCAGCTGTGAATGCTTTGAAATGCTAAAGAGGTCCTTGCACTGCATTGTGGGTTCAATGATTCTCCAAAATGTCTGTCATGTTGGTGTCTGTTATAACGTATAAGGCGTTCTATTCACAATTTAATGGGTCTTCATACCTCTGTAATGGCTCCAAAGAAAGGACACCTTCAGTGGAAATAAGCTTTGTAATCTGAAGTGTGTGTGTTTTTGTGTGTGTAAGTGTGTGTGTGAGAGAGAAATAATACCTTTTGCTTTTATGAAACCTTTACACGTATGGGTGTGTTTTGTGGTCTCAGCTGTTTGTATTAAAATATGTTTTGCATGTAATTGAATGGGTCAGTTAGCCCACATTACAAAGCAAACTGTGTTAGCCATGCACAGGAAGATGGTTTACTTTGTCTGAGTTTTAGCAATATTTACCAGTGGTTATTGAGCAAATATGTCAAGTATGTAAACTGGATGAACTTAACCTTAAAAAATAATATGATTAAGAGTATATATTTTATTTGATGTATAGCCAGAATATATATAAATAAAAACAAGTTAGCAATCAGTTTCACTTAAACACACACACACACACACACACACACACACACACACACACACACACACACACACACACACACACACACACACACACACACACACAATGTGCACAATGGCTATAACTGCCACAGTGCCGCCAGCATTTTGCTTTGTGTGTGTTCTTTCTAACATGTATAAAAGGGAGTCAAAAAGGCAAGCTCAGCATTGTGCATTCATCGCCCCCCCCCTTCCTCCTCGCTCCCCCCCAACAGTGATGGCTCTTGACTGGTCAGCGCGATGCCCCAGTGCTGCGACCCGCCGGCCCACCCACACTCCCTTTTACTCATCCTGCAACACACACACACACAAATATACAAACACACACAGACATATACAAACACACACACACAGATATACAAACACACACAGACATAAACACACACAGACATATACAAACACACACATACACACAGATATACAAACACACACGGTCACATAATGAACCCCACTGCCGAGCACCTCCTAGAAGCCTCGGTCACACCAGAAGACACAATCACAAGCAGTGTTGTGACAATAATTGTTGTTTTGTTGCTTTTTGTTTGTTGATTTGTGTTTTTTCCACGTTATCATCACCTTCTGCTGTCTCCACAACACTGCTATTAGCTGTAGAGCGGTGACAGCTCTGAGGCAAACTCAAGTTCACGTCTAAGAGTGCATAACCACAGGCCTCTGCTCAGACTGCTGCCTCGTAAAGACAACCTGTTATCATCGGCAGTGCTTAGTGGTGTCATTTTCTCCAGAACAATAAAAAGAGGCAATAAACATTATCACTTTGCATATTTAAGACAATACTTATTTAGCTATTGCTCTGTTTTAATATGTATTTTCGTCTTCTTCCATCCATACGTAGCACACAAGACAAAGGTTTCACAGGGTCAGGCGTTTCAGTGTATGGGTCAGTTCAGCGCTTTGGGCACTTCCGTCCGGGGCCCCAACTATTATGTGCACTTGTGTATATGTCTATGTGTGTGTGTGCATGTGTGTGTCTTTGTGCACGCATGTTTGTGTTGTCTGTCCATGTCTATCAGCATTTGTGACCACTGAAAATGACAGTTATGATATGTCAACAGATGACATACGCCCCAAGAAAACATTATTTTCTTGGCTCTAGCTGACCCCCTCTCAAAGTTTCACGCTGAATTTAAGATACAAATACTCAGAGTTGTCCCTTTATCTTAAAACTCTCACCTCCCACTAGATGTTTTTTATTGATTTCCACTCATCTCGTTGTATCTGTGTCTTTTTCTGGGTTACCTCTCTTTTGGCCTTGCTCTGTTATAGGGGGGCAACATAGGGGTTAAGTTTGTTTGATTTAGGATGTCCAGCACTGCAGCCCCCCGCCCTTGGCCGTACAGGGGGATTATGGCGTCACCTGGGGCCCCTGGGGGGGTATTATAAAGCCCCTGTCTGGCCCTCTCCACTCCGTCAGAGAGGCTAAAAGGTCCACCGGACACTGTCTATCCCCGTCTCTACTTTAGAAAACCCCCTTTAGCATTGATGCCCACTGTCTCTTGACAACTCATTCCACCTGAGACCTCCACCCACACTTCCACATCATCTCACACCTATGTCTTTGCGACAAGTGGACAGAGGTGGCAAACGCAGCTGAGTTGACTTTACCAACCCGGTTCACGGTTTGGTAAAGATCCTTTGAGTGGATTCGTCTGTTGACGTTCTGAGTGTTTTTGGTCAGACTACAAAAAAAGGGAGATCCTTTTTTGTTATTTTTGGCGCTTGCCGAAGACTTAAAAGGTACAGATTTACCTTTTCTAGATTTATTTTTTAAAGAACCTTCATCTGGTGGAGAGCCTCTGCTGAGCGGTCACCATGTGGGAGTTCAGGTCAATTAATTTTTGGCGGGCGGTCTTCGCCGAGTTCTTCGGGACCATGTTTTTCGTGTTTTTCGGCATGGGTGCCGCCCTGCGCTGGACCACCGGGCCTCATCACGTCCTGCATGTGGCCCTGTGCTTTGGGCTGGCAGCTGCCACCCTCATCCAGTCCATCGGCCACATCAGCGGCGGCCACATTAACCCTGCTGTCACCTTCGCCTACCTGATTGGCTCACAGTTGTCTCTTTTCCGCGCCATTTTCTACATAGCCGCCCAGTGCCTGGGTGCTGTAGCTGGGGCCGCCGTGCTGTACGGTGTCACACCCGGAAACATGAGAGGAAACATGGCAATGAACACGGTAAGAAACCAACAGAGATGTTTCAGAAATCAAGTCCAGCAATGATCTCTGGGTAGGCTGATTTCAACTATGCATTGCATGGCATACATTTTAAAGTTAAGGATGTTATCATCAGTGAGGTATCTTATCAGTCAAACAAACCTTTTTAAGCCATGGTCTAAAATATAAAGAACTACCGAAAAATGTGTTCCAGTAGCTCATTGTAAATAAAATACAAATTCAGTAGTATTTATTTATTATTTCCAATACAGCTCTGAAACTCTGAGATGTCATTGACTTATGTAATAATATTTTCATCCACCTGTTGTATCTCCAGCTGCAGCCGGGCATCAGTCTGGGAATGGGCACCACTGTGGAGGTTTTCCTCACCATGCAGCTCGTGGTGTGCATCTTCGCCGTGACCGATGAGAGGAGAAACGGACGCATGGGATCTGCTGCCCTATCCATCGGCTTCTCCGTCACCATTGGACATCTGATGGGGGTGAGACGCATGGAAACATAAATATCAAATAACAATGAAGTATTTTAAAACACAGATGCAGCAACAAGTGACTTGTGTTGTAGATGTACTACACCGGTGCTGGGATGAACCCTGCCAGGTCCTTCGCCCCTGCTGTGCTCTTCAGGAACTTTGTCAACCACTGGGTAAGACCTGCAGGCACTATGAATCTGAGAACGTAATATATTTAATGAATAACTCCCTGTTTTCACATGGTTTGGTCACGCATGCATATATGCTGTACATATTTTTTTCTCCCTCATTGTGTGACAAAATGTACCTCGTC